GACGAACGGCCCTCCGGGGGCGCACTGCTCTCCTAGAGACGTTGGCGACGTGGCGACGCTCTGGCCAGAGTTTCGAGGCGAAGGCAGCCGTGGCGACGATGCCTCCGTGGCTCCAGCATGCTCCAGCCGTGGCGACGATTGGTCCGCCTCCCCATAGTCCATGGTTGTTCTCTCCCACCTCTTGTACTCCTTCCTCCTCGTCCCACTTCCTCTCGTCTTCTACTCCCTCCTGCTCTACTACTCCTTCCTCCTCCTCCCACTTCCACTCCCTCCTCTTCGTCCTCGTCCTCGTCCTCGTCCAAAACCTCCTCCCCCTCCCACTTTCCGCCCCACCCCTGCCCCCGTCCCTCCGCGTGCCAGGCGCGCGCAAACTTGCATGGCTGGCACGCGCAGCTCTATGAAGTCTCTGAGATTCCGCGCCGACATTCCCACGCGACCAGCCACCCCGGGGGGGAGGGCCCGACAGGGGCCATAGCATGGGATCGCATAGCACTGCATCGCGTGGCCTAGCACGGCATATCATCGCATCGCACAAGGTTCCATGTGTTCGCAAGGCGTTGCAATGCAATGCACAGAGCACACTCGCACCAAGTCCAGACACTGCCCAGAAGTACGCCAGAGCCGTACTGTGTACAACATTCACACACGACCACCATGTGTCTCACAGAGAGGTTGTTGGGTGGGAACACCAGAGCTACAGCATGGCATCCCGTCGGATGGCGTCGCATACTATAGCATGGCATCGCACCACACCGGAGAGCAGCGCACGGCGTGGCACAGCATTGCTTAACAACGCATGGCATACCACGGGAATGCGTACATATGGACAGCGTTCAAACGATCACGGAGCACGGTTTGGGATAGCATGTCGTAGCAAAGCAAACAAGTTAAGAAGATGTAACAAACACACGCCATGGAAATTCATGGTCTAAAGTAGATCACACCCCGCCCAAAAAAGTAGATCAGACCACGCCCAAAAGTACATCAGACAACCCACAAGGAGACCAGACCCCGCGTCAAAGTAGGCCAGACCCCGTCCAAAAATAAATCCGACCACCCACACGTAGACCAGACCCTGCCCACAAGTACAGCACACCCGCCCAAAAGCAGAGCAGACCACCCGCAAATAGACCACACCCCGCCCAAAAGTAGATCAGACCCCGCCCGAAAGTAGATCAGACCACCCACTCGGAGACCAGACCCCGCCCAAAAGTACATCAGACCACCCACAAGGAGACCAGACCCCGTCCACAAGTAGAGCAGACCCGCCCAATTGCAGATCAAACCACCCGCAAGGAGATCAGACCCCACCCAAAAGTAGATCAGACCCCGCCCAAAAGTACATCAGACCACCCACAAGGAGACCAGATCCCGCCCTAAAGTAGAGCAGACCCGCCCAACAGCAGACCCGACCACCCATACGTAGACCAGACCCCCCCAAAAAGTAGATCAGACCTCGCCCAAAAGTAGATCAGACCACCCACATGGAGACAAGATCCCGCCCGCAAGTAGATCAGACACCGCCCAAAAGTAGATCAGACCACCCGCAAGGAGACCAGACCCCGCCTAAAAGTAGACCAGACCTGCCCAAAAGTAGATCAGACCACCCAAACGTAGACCAGACCTGGTCCACAAATAGGGCAGACCCGCCCAGACGCATATCATACCACCCACATGTAGACCAGACCCCGCCCAAAACTAGATCAGACCCCGCCCAAAAGTAGATCGGACCACCCGCAAGGAGATCATGCCCCACCCAAAAGTAGATCAGACCCCGCCCAAGAAGCGGATCAGACCACGCACTAGTAGACCAGACCTTGTCCACAAGTAGAGCAGGCCCGCACAAAAGTAGACCAGACCACACATAAGTTGACCAGACCCCTCCCAAAAGTAAATCAGACCCCGACCATAAAATATAACCGGGCCGTTTCTGGAAACGAAGAAGGAAAACCGGGCCGTTTCTGGAAACGCGAGAAGAAAACCGGGCCGTTTCTGGAAACGAGGAAAGAAAAAAGGCCGTTTCTGAAACCGAGGGAAGAAAACCGGGCCGTTTCTGGAAACGAGAAAACAAAACCGGCCCGTTTCTGGAAACGAGGAAAGAAAAAGGGCCGTTTCTGAAACCGAGGGAAGAAAACCGGGCCGTTTCTGGAAACGAGAAAACAAAACCGGCCCGTTTCTGGAAACGAGGAAAGAAAAAGGGCCGTTTCTGAAACCGAGAGAAGAAAACCGGGCCGTTTCTGGAAACGAGGAAAGAAAACCGGCCCGTTTCTGGAAACGAGGAAAGAAAAAGGGCCGTTTCTGAAACCGAGGGAAGAAAACCCTACCGTTTCTGGAAACGACAGAAGAAAACTTGTGGTCCCCCCCCCCCCCACACAAAGAAAGAAAACATGTCGGAAATCCGAACATGTTTTCTTCGCTCGGTTGCAAAACCGAGCGAAGAAAATATGTTCGGGTCTAGCATGTTGGCGAGAATGTTGTGGGCTCTATACTACATGTCATATAGGGCCCACAACATGCTCGCCAACATGCCAAATCCGAACATGTTTTCTTCCCTCGGTTTCAGAACCGAGATGAGAAAATGAAAGCATGCCTAGTGGGCTACTTTCCTCCTTCGTTTCCAGAAGCAGTCTGGTTTTCTTCCCTGGGTTTCAGAAACGGGCCGTTTTTCTTGCTTCGTTTCCAGAATCGGCCCGGTTTTCTTCCATCGGTTTCAGAAACGGCCCTTTTTCTTTCCTCGTTTCCAGAAACGGCCCGGTTTTCTTTCCTCGTTTCCAGAAACGGCCCGGTTTTCTTCCCTCGGTTTCAGAAACGGCCCTTTTTCTTTCCTCGTTTGTAGAAACGGGCCGGTTTTGTTTTCTCGTTTCCAGAAACGGCCCGGTTTTCTTCCCTCGGTTTCAGAAACGGCCCTTTTCCTTTCCTCGTTTCCAGAAACGGCCCGGTTTTCTTCTCTCGGTTTCATAAACGGCCTGGTTTTCTTTTTTCGTTTCCAGAAACTGCCCGGGCTGTCTTCCCTGGTTTCCAGAAGCGGGCCCTTTTTCTTTCTGGACGGGGTGCGACGCACTTTGGGCGGAGTCTGCTCTACTTGCGTGTGGTCTGGTGTACTTTTGGGCGGGCCTGCTCTACTGGGGCACAGGGTTTGGTCTACTAGTGGGTGGTCTGATCTACTTTTGGGCGGGGTCTGCTCTACTTGCGAACGGGGTCTGGTCTCCTTGTGGGTGGTCTGATCTACTATTGGGCGGGGTCTGATCAACTTTTGGGCGAGGTCTGGCGTCCTTGTGGGTGGTCTGATGCACTTCTGGGCGTGGTCTGACCTACTTTAAGGCGGGGTCTGGTCTACTCAAGGGTGGTCTGGTCTACTGTTGGGCGGGTCTGGTCTACTTTTGGACGGGGCCTGGTCTCCTTGTCGGTGGTCTGATCTACTTTTGGGCGGGGTCTGACCTACTTTATGGCGGGGTCTGGTCTACTCAAGGGTGGTCTGGTCTACTGTCTGGCGAGTCTGGTCTACTTTTGGACGGGGTCCGGTCTCTTTGCGGGTGGTCTGATCTACTTTTGGGCGGGGTGTGATCTCCTTTTGGGCGGGGTCTGGTCTCCTTGTGTGTGGTCTGATCTACTTTTGGGCGTGGTCTGATCTACTTTTGGGCGGGGTCTGGTCTACTTATGGGTGGTATGGTCTACTTTTGGGCGGGTTTTGCTCTACTTGTGGACAGGGTCTGGTCTACTTATGGGTGGTTTGGCCTGGTTTGACGGGCGGCCTGGCCTTCTGCGCTGAATGGATTGGCTTGCGTCTGTGCGGGGTCGGAACATTTCCTCTGTTGCGTAACAGCGCCGCGCGCGTCCAAGGGCGCGTATGAAGCTGCACCTCCGGGCAAGAGACTGGTCTACCCATCAAAACTTGGCCGCGCTGGAAGGTCTTGCACGCTTCCTCGCGCGCCAGAGGCGCCACCCCGGAACTGCTCACGCACTGGAGTCGCGACGCGCGCAAAATTTCGACACCTGAGTCAGGGCCAGGCCGCGTCAGTGGCGCGCCAGAGGCTGCGTCGTTTTCCCACCCGCGATCGCGCGCCTGCGATCTACTCCTCCGCTGAGTCCGAGCTCCCCCCATCCCCGTCCACCTCGTCCGCGATTGGCTCGAGCAAGCGCCGCACCCCGGAACTGCTCACGCACTGGAGTCGCGACGCGCGCAAAATTTCTACACCTGAGTCAGGGCCAGGCCGCGTCAGTGGCGCGCCAGAGGCTGCGTCGTTTTCCCACCCGCGATCGCGCGCCTGCGATCTACTCCTCCGCTGAGTCCGAGCTCCCCCCATCCCCGTCCACCTCGTCCGCGATTGGCTCGAGCAAGCGCCGCACCTCCATCATCGTTCCCGCGAAGTACTTCTCTACTTTCTCAGCGAAACCGTCCTCGCCGCCGAGCTTCTGGGCGAAATTCTTGTCATGCCCCGCCATGTACAGTGCGCATCGGTCCAAGGTCGCGTCGAGCCACTCCCGGTGCACCTCGTTGACCGCCACGCCCTCGTACTCCATCGCGCCAGAGGCTGCGATTGCCAACGCGCCAGACCCCGCCGTGAAGTCAACGATGTGCGTGATGTGATGGTGCTCGCAAATCCGCTGCCAAAAGCTCAATGGCTTGACCTCCAAGTGCGAGAAGGGGTGCCCGTTCGCCTCGATGTCTTTCTGCGCGCGCCTCCCTCTCACCGGGCCAGCGGCTGCGTTTCCCAAGATCGAGGCCTTCGTGTCGTGGGTCATCCGCGGCAGCTCGCGGTAGTGCCGCATAGGCACGCCCGTGTACGTCGTGTACGAACTCGTGGTCTCGCCGCACAAGTTGAACTCCGCGCGCTGCACTACCTTCATGACGCCTCTTTTCGGGATGGAGCAGATGACGACTTCCTTGTTGTTGCACGCAAAACAAGTCACTCTTCCCGGGACTCTGGGGTCCTGTGCCTTGCCCGGCTGCACATACACACACCAACACTCAGTCACAGCGTGCGCGCCAGAGGCTGCGAGACCCTCCTCTTTGTCCTCGAGCAGTTTGCGGCGCGACCGGCTCCGCCCGTCGAGGAAAATGACGATATCGTGAACCGAGCGCTTCTGCGAGACGAAATCAAGCACCCGCCCGAAACGCTCCGCATCCACAGCGACGTGGTCGCCCAAGCTCGCCGCCGCCCCGCTCTTGCTCACGTTTGGGGCGAACAGGTCGGCCGACCCAACGAATGCTCGGACGTCTTGCTTTTTCCTGGCGTACCTATGTCCGAGACGCATCTCTTCCCAGAGTTTCTGCAACTGGGCGGTGCTGCGTTCCGCGCCAGTGGCTCCGCCAACCGACGGCAGCGCCACGAACGAAACGGACTTCCTGCGAAGAGAGAGGAGCAAGTCCTTGGTTTTCTTGAGGTCCTCCTGGTCGGCCTCCGCGAGCTCGGACGCCCCCATGACCACGCCAGAGGCCCCGCCCTCGGCAGTGCCAGTCGAAATGGGACCCGCCGCGCAAGCAGCGGTCAGCGCGCGGTACTTGACGCCCATCTCCTTGGTGCTATCGGTGAAATACCGGTGCCACAGGAAGGCGGCTGCACCTCCCTGCAGGTCTTTGGCGGCCAGCTCCTGGAGCTCCTCGTCGAAGTGGCCAGCCCAAACGGCCCACGCGAAGTCGATCAACGCCTGCGTCTTCGCTCCTCGGCCTTGCTGGTCGCGGTATTCGGCCACGGGGACAGCGAACATGTTTCCCAACCCTGTGTTATCGGAGCTCTCCTCTCGCCGAAATGCAGCAGCTAAGCCTTTCTCGCCAGAGGCTGAGAAGTGCTTCACGATGGCAAGCGGCGAGCGAAACATGGATACTGTAGGCACCATGTCTTTGTCGATCATCGCCGCCTCGTGCATAATGTACTCGATGACATCATGTTTCTTGAACAGCACGTGCGTCAGCGCGGGGGTATTTTTCTCTTGCCCCGTGACCCGTCCCACAGAAAGCCCCCCCCCCCCTGGGGGCGTCGCCTGTCAGCCGGGCAACGCGCAAGCAGTCCAGGACGAACGCCATCGAGTCGCAGGCAGCCGCGTCCTTGTCTGCCTGGGAGGGCGCCGTCCTTGCTTTGCAGAGCTGCGCCAGCCGCATCAACAGCGTGGGTTCGCGGAGCTCGGGGCAGAAAGCCTCCGCCAAAGAGTAAGCCACGGCGCAAGCGTGATTCCCGACGAAAGGCGTCAAGCTTTTCAAAGCCTTGGCGTGTGCCTCGGTGAGCGCGTTGCCCTTGAACGTGATCCCGTAGGTCGTGAGGACTTTGGTCAATTTCGGAAGAGATATGTTCTCGGCCACAGCCTTCTGTTACTTTGTCAGGCGACTCACCTTTTCAGCCAGCTTCCAAAAGGCATCCGCGCCAGAGGCTGCGGAAGTAGAGAATACGGTCTCAGAGAACAGCAGCGACGCTAGCAGGCAGGCGTCAGGGTCGGGGCTGAGACGCAGCCTGATCGGCACAGACAAAGCTGCCTCAAACAGCTTGAATGTGCGATCACTGTTGCCGGCGGACAATGCCTCTGCCATGGCGCCATACCACGCCATCACAAGCGGGTGCCCCGCCAGCATGGGCACTCCCGTTGCCATGAGAACAGTGGATTCGCCCTCGGTCATGCGCTGGGCAACCTTGGCGTTGACAACTCCTGCTGGGAGCGGCACGTCGAACGAGTAGCGCCGCGACGGCGGGTGGTCGGAAGACAGCAAGAGCCTCTCCTCAGTCCAGTTCGCCATGGCGGCATCGAGCTGGCTGATAGAGACGATGTCGGACGTGTCGGCGGCGAGCGGGTCAAGCATCCACACCGTCCCTGCAGCCTCGTACTGCCCCGTCGTAGAGAAGCTCAACTGCAAGTTGTCGTACTGCATGACCTCCCGAAACGATGTCAGGTGCGCGCCAGAGGCTGCGGAAGAAATTTTCAGAGGAGGGATGAGCATGACGGAGGCGGGCACTTTGAAGGCCACCAGCGCTTGCTTCTCAGACAGGAACTTCAGGAGAGCATTGTCGACGCACTCCTTGGCCCCCTTGGCCCAATTGATCAGATGCCCCGCCTGGCTCTGCACCGAATCCATCTCGAGCAGCTCCTCGACGGCCAATGGCGCAGGCGGTGAGGGCGCCGCTGCAGACGGCGCCGCAGGCGCCGGTGCAGGCGGCGCTGCAGGCTGCTGTGCCGTGCGCGGCCTCTTCGGCGCGGGAAGAGCTTCCTGATGAGGCGCCATGGGCGGCGCGAGCACACGAAGAGACGCAAGAAGAGTCGGGCGCGCGCCTCGTTGCCAGCACTTGGTCCTTGAACCGATCAGCTGCGCTGGGTGGATGTCTTATTCATTCTTTCGGGCGTGGTCTGCTCTACGTTTGGACGGGGTCTCGTCTCCTTGTGGGTGGTCTGATCTACTTTTGGACGGGGTCTGATGTACTTTGGGGCGGGGTCTGGTGTCCTTGTGGGTGATCTGGTTACTTTTGGGCGGGTCTGGTCTACTGTTGGACGGGGCCTGGTCTGCTTATGGGTTGTCTGATCTACTTGCGGGCGGGGTCTGATCTACTTGTGGGCAGGGTCTGGTCTCCTTGTGGGTGGTCTGATCTTCTTTTGGGCGGGGTCTGGTCTACTTTTGGCGGGGCCTGGACTGCTTGTGGGTGGTCTGATCTACTTTTGGGCGGGGTCTGGTCTACTTTTGGGCGGGGTCTGGTTTACTCGTGGTTGGTCAGGTCTACTGTTGGGCGGGTCTTGTTTACTTATGGGCGGGGTCTGGTCTCCTTATGGGTGGTCTGATCTACTTTTGGGCGGGGTCTGATCTACTTTTGGGCGGGGTCTGGTCTCCTCGCGGGTGGTCTGATCTACTTTTGGGCGGGTCTGGTCTACTTTTGGGCGGGGTCTGGTCTCCTTGCGGGTGGTCTGATCTACTGTTGGGCGGGTCTGGTCTACTTTTGGACGGGGTCTGGTCTCCGTGTGGGTGGTCTGATCTACTTTTGGGCGGGGTCTGATCTACTTCTGGTCGGGGTCTGGTCTACTTTTGTCTTGGGTCTGGTCTAGTTGCCGTTGGTCTGGTCTACTCTGGGTTGGGGTCTGGTCTACTTTTGGGTGGCATGGATGACCTGTTGGCGGGCTCTGGTCTACTTTGGGGCAGTCTGGATATATATATATATATATATGTGTTATTTCTTTTTTGGGGGGTCTGGTCTACTGTTGGGCGGGGTCTGGTCTACTTTTTGACGCGGTCTGGTCTATTTTTGTCTGGGGTCTGGTCTACTTGCGGCTGGTCTGGCGTGCTCTGGGTCGCGGTCTGGTCTACCTTTAGGTGGTCTGGATTACTTGTTGGCGGGGTCTGGTCTAGTTTGGGGTTGTCTGGTATATTTTGGACGGGGTCTTGACTACTTTCTGGGTGGTCTGGTCTACTTTTGGGCGGGGTCTGGTCTACTTTGGGGCGGTCTGGTCTAGTTGTTGGGCGGGTCTGGTCTACTTGCGGGCTGGGCCTGGTCTACTTTTGCGGGGTCTGGTGTACTTTTTGACGGGGTCTGGTCTACTGTTGTCCGGGCTCGGGTGTGCTTGCGCGGCCTGGTATAATTTTGGGTGGTGCCTGCTCTACTTGTGGACGGGGTCTGGTCTACTTTTGGGTGGTCTGGTCTACTTGTGGGCGGGGTCTGGTCTACTCTGGGTCGGAGGTGGTCTACTTTTGGGCGGTCTGGATGACTTTTTTGGCGGGGTCTGCTTTACTTCGTGGCTGGGTCTGGCCTGCTACCTGGGTGGCCTGCCTCACTTTTGGGTGGTCTGGTTACCTCTTTGACGGGGTCTGGTCTACTTGCGGGCGTTCCGGCTTACTTTTTTCTGGGGGGGAGGGAAGTCTACTTTCTGGGCGGTCTGATTATAATATGGGCGGTGTCTGATCTACTTCTGGGTGGTCTGGTTCACTGTTTGGCGAGGTGCGGCCTACGTCTGGGTGATCTTGCCTGCTTGCGGGCGGGGTCTCCTTTTTTGTTCGGGTAAGATCCTCAGGCGCGCATTGGAATTCCGTCCACAGTCACTGCTTTGGGCCCTATATAATCCCTCACCTGCCTCGCTGCAGACGCCCATGCGACGACGTCGCGCAGAGTCGAGAAAAGCGTCCCGCCAGAGGCTGGGGGTGCCGCTTCCGACACTGCGAGGTTCGACCCCGCTCTGCGGGCCACGCGCCGCGCCGCCGCCCGCGCATCTGGATGCACCGTGACGAGGCCTGGCCCGAGATGAATAACCTCCTGGCGCTCGTTTGCTGGGACGTGGCGCGTGCGATGGTCGAGTGGAATTCTGTCTGGGTGGCCCTGGGCTGCGACCAGGAGCGTCTGCGTAACGACGTCCAGGCCAAGCGAGGCGATGTAAAAGAAAGAGACGGCCAGATCCACACTTGCTGCCAGCGCGTCCACGTCGTGGAGAAACGCCAAGTCTGGAACGACGACGAGGTCTGCTTCTGCGCAACGGTGTCTGCCAGTGGCAGTAGCGCAACCTCTCGCAGGGCACATGTCGGTCGCACCGCCGAGGCTTGCTACCTTGCTGTACGGCGAGGGCCGCGCCAGAGGCTGCGTCGTCGAACCTAGTCTCGGGGCCAGGTTGACGCCGGGCGGGTTCACGAAAGGCGCCCCTGGACGCGCCCGCGTCTGCTGGACGCCTGGTATATTGTTGCGGCTGCGCGCTTGGAACTTACCCATGTCGTCGCTCCACAAAGCGCTCCCCTCAGTGCCGGCGCCGGAATGCACCGCGGTCGACGGGCCCCGCGCCCGTCGAATGCGGGCAACAGTCACGGCCAGGCGGGCGGCCCCAAGGACGGCCCGAGAACGTCCGCGAACCAGCCCGGGCGCGCTCTTCCTTTTTAACGTGGCCGCCGCAGTAGCTTGAGGGTTGTAATGCCCACGCCGTTGGCCGAGCAGTTCCCGCCAGAGGCTGGCGCATTCCCTGGAGAAGGACGTCAAGCCTAGTCCAGGGCGAGCCGCGCCTTCGTCGAATTCTGATGCCGTCTTCGGCCCGTTCAACTTCAGGATCAAGCAGTCGTCGTGAAAAGCAATATCATCAGTGCGGTGCTCTACCCGTTGATCCCGATATCGGGCTAAGTCGCGCTCGACGGTGCACTCCCCGTCTTCAATCGAAATGTAGAAACGCACGAGGCGGCAGAGCATGCGAGAGGCCCCACGGAGCCGGTTCGGGCAAGCCGCCTCCCAAAAGACATCGTCGAGAATGCGAGCCCACGCTTGCTGGTTAGTTGCCCCCGCCAGTGGCTGGGATGGCCCCATCTGTTGCATCATGTAGGGAAGCACGCCGTTGTACTGCAATACCGCCGCCTGCTCGTCGCAGCCGAGGAGGCCCGCCAGCTGGCGAACGCCCCGCAGAAGGAAACGCCGCACTTCCACATCGGGCACTGGGCCGAAGCCTTTCTGCACGAGACGCCGGTCAAACATGGCCAGCGCCGAGCGGACGTCAGTCCGCGGGAAGTCCGCGAGCAAGCGCTCTTTTGTCAAGCTCGCCACGTTCTGCAATCGGTGGAGGAGCTCCTCCTTGTGCGCTGCTGCTGGTTCCCCCCATGGCATCACGGGGTCTCCGTCTGCGTAGAACACATACCTGCGGCGAAGATCGCGCATGACCGTCTCTGTGATGAAGCCAGCCTCGTGTCCTTCCGCTCGGACACGGAGCCGCGGTAGCGGCACCTCGGAAGCCGGGGCGGTCGCGCCAGAGGCTGCGGCTGCGACGGGAGGTACCTGGAGGGCCGACTGGAAGACCCGCCCTTCCATGAAGACAGCATCCAGCGTCTCGACCATGCAATCGATCTCGGAACGCGACTTTGCAATGTCGTGGCTGGCGACGTCGAAGAGTCGCAAGAACCAATTGCATATGATCCCCCAGTCCGCGGCCACACCAACGGCCATACAGAACTTAGTATCGAATTTCCGCAACAAGGCGCCCGCCCGATGGCGCTGCTCCCGGTCGTGGCGACGGTCCGAAGCGATGCACGCTAGCAAAGTTGCCACCGGCACGAGCAAGAGGGCGATTTTCAACACTGGGTCCGCCGTCGAGTCGAAGCGTTGCTTGGCGAACGCCAAATTCCGCACGATTCCCGCCGGGGGCTGGGGTCCTCCAGGCAACCCAGGCACTGCCACTGCGTGCACGTTGTCCTCCTGGATTGCCACCAGAAGGTTGTGCAGCTTGTTAGAGTGCATTAGGTCAGGAACCAACGCATGCCGATCATTGAACAGCTCCCTCCAGACCTCCCCAAACACGTCGTCGCAATGCATCGACTTGACGGCAATGCGTATGGCGTGTGCTGGATCGCGAATCACGATTAACAAGTTGGGGAACAGTTCGCGAGCAGCGAGGAAGACTGAACGCCGCTCCTTGGACGCGCCATCAGCAGAGAAACTGGTGACTGTTCGCAGCACGTGTGCTTTCAGTTCCTCATCGCACGCCAGGGGCTGTGCCCCCCTGCGGCCCTTAATTCTGCCGAGCGGCGTGCAAAATTTTGTCAGAAATGCATCAAGCTGCTTAACCGCAGTGACAGCGTGGTCCTCCTCGAAGTCGGACGCGTGTTTCTTCGAGCAGTCGAGAAGGCCTAACACGCCCGAGAGGCAATATCCTGACGCACCAACGTTGCCCAAGTGGAAGCCCTGACCGCTATGTTGTACAGCAGGAAGGTCGGCGCGAAACCGGACGATTTTCCGATACTTCGACTCGTCGATAGCCAAAGATATGGAAGTCGCCTGGTGCAGCACTTTGCGGATATTCTTCCTCAAGACCTCCGCCATCACTTGGAGTTGTCGGCGATGGCGTTTCCGTCTTCTGTTCGCCACCGAGCCAGGCGCGTGCCCTTTCTTATCGCAGATGCGAGCGTCCTTCCGGTGAGAGACTCCTTCTGATAGCACCGCCCACGCGTCTTTCCACTCCGATGGGGACGGTGCGTTTCCCTTTATCAAGCCAGTATCAGACTCGGTCGCCAGAAGCTCGCATGGCTTCTCAGTTGGCCAAACGGTCGGGCACGCCAGAGGCTGTGGTACAGTCGGCTGAGCAAACATGTCGGAACCCTTTCTCTTTTTTATCCCACAGGCCACGCGGTGCGAATCGGAAGTGCTATGT